CGTCTGCTGACTGCGGAAGTCAAGGATGCACCAAAGAGCGTGCGCGAACTGCTCGGGCAAGGGAGGCTTCCGCCGAGGCTTGGCATGAAGACGGCCGCCCTCATCGACGTGTTCTCGCCAACCAGATGGAAGGCGTGCGTCGAAGTAACTAACGTGAAGTGCACTGCGTCTGAGACGATCTTCATGCACGTCATGATTGAAAGGCAAGGCTGACCATCGCTCTGCAAGGTGAAGGCCCGCAGAAAACTAAATGAAGCTCGAGATTTCGAAATCGAGATCCTTATCCGCGGTAACAAGCCGCTGCGCGAGTTTAGGAGATAGGGCTCATGACATCCCGCAGGGTCGCAGGGTGAGCTAGACATGCATTCCAAGGGTTTCAGAAGCACAACCTTGTGGCTGGTGTGTGTGTGTGTGTGTGTGCAATTTTGAATGAGCGGCCCCCCTCACCGTTAGACTTCCGGGCCCCTTCCAAAGCCCAAGCGCCAGCGGAGACAAAAATCTGCCGGCCCCGTGCGCGCGCCAACCTGGGATGGCACTACAAATAGATGTGCCAAATCCTTGCGCGGCTGCTCAAAGAAGAGCAGGTTCCCTTGTTCTGAGCTGCCTCACCCTCGCCGTGTTTGTGCCGGGTTACAGTTCTCGCGCCTGCCCGTGCCATACTTTTTGCGGGGAGTTCCCGTCGCAGAAGGCCCCTGGCCTTTTCGAGGTCAGGTCGACGCCTACGAGATCCAGCGAAATATCCAAGCTGCTGCGAGGTATACTCCAAGGAGCTAACCTGAGATTGGGCCCTGCCTTCTCCCTTGCCCCCTGTCTCCTGCCGCCCTGCCCTCTCCCCGTTCCCTCCCTCTCACCCGCAGGGGCCCAGATCCCAGGCGGAAGGGGGCGGGCCTGAACAGCACGCACGACTGGCAGTACCACAAGTACTAAGCCAAGTTCAACATGCTCAGGCCCGCCACCTTTCTTTTTCCGTTGTTGTTTCTTTGTCTGTCTGTTTGTTTGTCTGTCTGTCTGTTTGTCTGTCTGTCTGTCTGTCTGTCTGTCCGTCTGTCTGTCTGTCTGTCTGTCTGTCTGTCTGTTTTTTGTTTGTTTGTTTGTTTGTTTGTTTGTTTATTTATTCGTTTTTGGGGAAACAAGGTATATTATAGATGCACATGCTTTTTCCTAACGTAGCGCGTGTGGGTTACCATTCGGTCTGTGATGTAGTCGATGCAGAAAAAAGAGCGGAGAGGCGATGCAGGCGGCAGGAAGAGGGAGGCGCCGGGAGAGAAGGAGCAGGACACCGACGAGACGCGCGAGCAGGGCCCTGCTCAGCGCGAGAACCGCCGGGAAGGCGGCGCACTGAGCGGAGGAGGAGGAGGAGGAGGAGGAGGAGGAGGAGGAGGAGGAGAGGAGGAGGAGGAGGAGGAGAGGAGAAAGAGAAAGAGAACGAGAAAGAGAAATATAAAGAGAAAGAACAGAAAGAGAGAGAAAGAGGAGGAGGAGGAGGAGGGAGGAGGAGGAGGAAGAGGAGGAGGAGAGGAGGAGGAGGAGGAGGAGGAGGAGGAGGAGGAGGAGGAGGAGGAGGAGGAGGAGGAGAGGAGGAGGAGGAGGAGGGCGGAGGAGGAGAGGAGGAGGAGGAGAGGGAGGAGCAGGAGGAGCAGGAGGAGGAGGAGGAGGAGGAGGAGGAGGAGGGGGAGGAATACTAATACGAATAAGAATGATATTAAGAAGAATACGAAGAACACAACTGATACTAATAAGAAGACGAATACGACGAATAACCCGACTACTGATACGAATAAAAATAATGATAAAACTAATACTAGTTATAAGACGAACAGAAGAACACCACTAATATCAATGATCATAATAAGAAGACTACTAACAATACTGATCGGAAGAAGACTAACACGAATACTAATACTAATAAGAAGACTAATACGAGTAACCATAAGACGAAGACGACGCCGGAGACGACGAACACTAATACTACGAAAAATAATAAGCATACTAAGCATATTAATAATACCAATAACAAGAATAAAACGAAAACAAACAATACTAAGACTACTAAGACGAACACTTAGCAGACTACTAATAATAATAAGACTAAATCGACTAATAATAATACTAATACAAATCAGCCTAATACTACTAATAATAAGAATAAGAAGAAACATACGAAGACGAATACTACTGACAATGATAGTAATAATAATACTAAGAAGACTAAGCATACTAATTCTAATTATCAGAAGAAGAAGACTATTAGTCATACAACTAATAATAATATTACTAATAGTCATATTAATAATAATAGTACTAATAGTAATACTAGTAATAATACTAATACTAATACTAATACTAATAATAATAATAGTACTAATACTAATACTAATAGTAATACTAATATTAATAATACTAATACTATTATTAATAATACTAATAATAATATTATTAATAATAATACTAGCAATAATAATGTTAATAATACTATGAATACTACCAATATTCATAATGATAAGAAGACGAGGAGGAGGAGGCTATTTTTGGGCTATTTTTATGTTCGGCCCCCTGGCGCCCTGCC